CGCTTCTCTTCATAATCTAATGTGCTACTAATATGATAAAAGCGGTCAGATGTTCAGTTCTCTTGAAATATGCATCATTCGATAGGGAGTTTCATGCTGATTAAGAATATGTTACTTCGAATTATTTTAGTGCGCGTTATCATCGAGAAGAATTCAAAATACTGAGAAGGACTCTCTTTTTGAAAATCCGCTAACTTTTTTTAAAAATGGTGTAACTCTGTTCCAAGTGGATTTGGAGCTTCACAAAGGTGTTTTTCTTGATCAGCATCTAAAACTGCATCTAGAAAAGTATATGTGAAGGTTCCAGATAAAACAATAACTTCTGAGCACGTCGCTTTTCATCTAGACCTTTTGTTTGACGGTACTTATCTTGCAAGCCACGTGCAGCCTTTTGGTCAAGAGCTAGAGACAAGTTTTATAAGCCATTCACTTCGCCGTTCAGTTTAGAACAAAAGTATGAAGCACTTTTTTCGAAATATTTTTCGTTCCTGAGAAAGTACATTTTTCTTGAATCAGGACCGAAAAACTCAGAATTCTGCCCCTAATTCTCGATTTTCTTCATCAGACTCATTTCTTATGCAATAAAAATATCATATTCGGATTTAGCGTCGTAAAATTGATTCGAATGATATAAAAAAATTCGAAGTAACATATTCTTAATCAGCATGAAACTCTCTATCGAATGATGCATATTTGAAGTGAAAATAAAATAGTGCTCGACGTTCGAATTTGGGGCGCCTTATAAAATCGAACGTCTCCGAACTATTCACAATATTTTTTCATCAAAGTGACTTCAATTATACAAGAAGTGTACAGATATCGATCAGAGACTTTTTTATAAATTTAATATAATTCGATAAATTAATTTCATGAAAAGTCCAAAGGCATCTCATTTTGTCTGGAACTTTGTGCCGTATTCAAAGAATTCATAGTACCTGGTCTTGAGAGTTTAAGTTTTTGAGATGTCTAATTTCCAGTAGTTTTTATGGAAGTTTCGTTCATCTCACGAGGGAAGGTCACCAACTGCCACCTCGCTTTTGAGCTCTAAGCTAGTGGGTAATAGGTAAAAAAATGTGCTGAATCCGAATATGACAATGATTTTGGCCGCTAGGCCTCCAAAGACTGGATTTCTAGAAAACCAGTTTTTCAGAAACTCCAAAAACTCTCCAAAACTTTTCTTAACAAGTTAAAATTGTAGCACGCGAAATTCTGATCAAAATGAGACATTGCCCTACATGACATTTCTTTGCAAAATTATGGACTTTACAAGAAAAGCCCAAATGTTCATTGTCAGCTCAAAGCTACAAATATAAGAAGGAAAAAATTGATTTAGGGCTTTTCTTGTAAATTCCATAACTTTGCAAAGAAATGTCATGTAGAGCTGGACAATGTCTCATTTTGATCAGAATTTCGCGTGCTACAATTTTAACTTATTCAGAAAAGTTTTGGAGAGGTTTTGGAGTTTCTGGAAAACTGGTTTTCTAGAAATCCAGTCTTTGGAGGCCTAGCGGCCCAAACCATTGTCATACTCGGATTCAGCACATTTTTTTACCTATTACCCGCTAGCTTAGAGCTAAAAAGCGAGGTAGCAGTTGGTGACCTTTCCTCGTCAGTTCTGACCGAAAACTCTCCATCACTTTCTTAATATAACTTTAGGTATCGTTTGGAACAACATAACATTGATCGGTAGAACCAATAAACTTCTCTTTTCAGAGAACTGAACATCTGACCGCTTTTATCATATTAGTAGTACATTAGATTATGTGAAGAGAAACGCTTGACAACTTTATATTTTACATATGATCGTATTTTAGACTAAGACGACGAAAGCTGATGCTTTAGAATTGATACTGCAAAGCGCTCATGTCGAATTAATAACAAATTCACGTGTTATTGGTTTAATCAATAAAAAATGGCAATATTTTGCTAGGCGAACATTTGTTACACGTTTTATGGTTACATTAGTCTATCTAATCATTTTCATGTTAACAATAGTATTGGATCAGAAACGAGAGGAAACGGCATGTATTCATACAAGTTCTTACATTTGTATTTGAAATGATAGATGTATTTAGGTCAAAGATGATGGCGATGATGTAGTGGAAACTAACGTGGTATATCCAAGACAAAGTTTAGTTTATTATTTCTGTACAATTGGACATTTTCTCGTTTTGGCAGGCGCATTGTTCAAAGCAAGGCTAGAAATATGTAAAATATTAAGCGTTGGATTAAAGAAGTATCACATGACGCCGGTCAGTACATGTCATTAACTGAAATCAATTGAGCAGAGACGGCAGAACCATTTGCACTGGAGAGGGAGGGACGACACACCATTGAAATATTTTTTTTCTTGCGTTCTATGGACTTTGTCTCCTCGTAAAATAATGGCCCCCTCAGTTTCAAAGTCGTCCCGCAGTCTCCGCAATTGAATCTAACCGGTGGACAAATGTAAACTTTAGAGACAAAAATAGTCAAAGTTGGTTAACGTGAAAAAATTCTTACCACACGGTAAAAAGCCATGTTCTTCAAGTTTTCAACGAACTAGTTGAGGAACTCATCTGAGTTCTTTAAGATATAGAAACTTATCTTTTCTTTTCCAAAAACAGTCAGTTTTTCATTCGTTTTAGTTTTTTAGAAAAACACACAACACAGTTTCTCTTTTAAGTTCTTTGAAGATGTCGGAAAGGAAAGAAAAACCATCGGCTTTGTCAGCTAACTCTGCTACCGAAGTGAAATTCCGTAACGATTTTTTTGCATTTTGTTTCTCCTATATTTTCGAACTGTGAGACGCCCAGAGCTCTAGAACGTCTCAGACTAAAGGGGAAAGTGTGCTAAAGATTTTGAGATGTTCTCCCAGTCTACACATTCTTTCATGCAAAAAGTCTGATGAAAAACTCTTTAATCTGAAACGTTCCAAAGCTCTGGGCGTCTTGCCGTTCGAAAATTATAAGAAAAATAAAATGCAAAAATATCGTTATAGAATTTTATTTCGATAGTAGAGTTAGCAGGCCAAATCGTCACAAATGTCAATCACCATATTGTTTTACTAAACTACCATATATATATATATTAAACACATGATAATTTCGTAAAAAGAACTTAAAAATTATATTCGAGAATTTCTCTCTAACTATAAGAGTGTGTGCACACTTCGAGATCAGCATGTTTTTAATGAGATCGATCAGATTGGTGTCCATTCAAAAATGTTCAGTCAGTTAGTCATCTGCAGAATTAGTCAATCGACTTTTTTAGTATTGTCAATGACAACATTTCTATTGTTTGTAGAACATCAGAAAAATAATTCAGTCATTATCAATCGTAACTATATTACTCAAGGGGGAAAAGGCGGCTCCGGGAGCTTTCCGGAGCCCTTGAAATGCTATCCGGAGCTTGACATGCTGAGCGATGATCTGAGTGGCTCATAGTGCCACAGATTAAGGAAACGGCTCTTTCCCGCAAACAGAACAAAAAGGTTCTGTCCGCGGGAATAGAATTCACGGAACAGAACACAATTGTTCCGTTATCAGGAAAATTTTCCCGTTAAAAGAACAGAATTGTTCTGTTTGGGGAACAGAAGTTTTTCTTAGAAATGAAAAATTTTGAGCGAACGATGCTCTCCGATACTGAGCGATGCTCTCCGATGCTGAACGACGCTCTGCGATGTTAAGAAAGAAAAAAGTCGCCTTTTCCCCCTTGATATTACTGCATAAAAAAACTCGAACGCAGCAGAACTTCAAAGAAGGAAATCTTAGAATAAGTTCTTGCAAAAAATGCAGTACGGAAAAGAGTTATTCGAACCTGATATTTTCTAGAGAACAAATATCTCAAATAGAAATCTAAAAATGAAAAATTATATTTTCAGCTCTTTCATAGCATAAAAAAATCAGTTTCACCGATTTTAAGAAAACTCGTGTTAGATTTCTACTTGAGGCTAATAAAAATTATATTTGTGTTTTCTGAAAAACTCTTTTTTTTTTACTAGTTGGATATTTCTATTTTCATACAGCAGACAAACTTCATAAAACTTACGTCATTGAATACAGATTCAAAAGATAATTCTCACTCATTAATATTACGTTTAAGTTTTGCATTTTGTTTATTATACACACTTTTGTGTCTAAGAATACACAAATTCATTCAATGTCGCTCAACTTCGATTTTCGATCAAGGTTTTTAATTTTGTTTGCCTATCAGATTCTGTACGCATGATTCATTGTCACTAATTCATGTTTATTGTTTGAAGTTTTCAACAAAAACGTAATTCAACATTTTATCAACTACATTAGAACTTTATATTTTTATGCCATATATTTATTTCATCTAGTTTTAATGGTTTATTACAGTAAATAAACATCATTTAATGCGTCGAACAGTCATTTTTTGTAATGCGGATAGTTTTGTAACAATTTTAAAAACTGATATTTATTAATTATATTCATGAATCTTTTTGTTTAAAGAGAATTCCAATTTATGAGAAAATAACATCATTTATTATCCACTAAAAATATGCTGAATGTCATTTACATGCCATTTTATGGAAGAAAAAAGAATTTTCTACTATGTGTGTGCATGAGTTTATACTTTCGTTAAAATCTGAATTACACTAGCTCTAATTCCTTATGAATAAATGTCTTTTCTATCGTATTCTTCACAAAAACTAGTACATAGAATATGAATGCAATATATACTCATTTGTCTTAGATCTTTTCAACAATATGCAAAAGAAAAGGATAATTTTGATTGTCGAAGAATGTTCCATAATATTTTTATATACAGCAAAAATTAATTACTATTTTTGACTGACAAACATATACTTTTTTGAACTTGGTATATAAATACATTTGCAACAAACGACTATTCATTTTTCTAGGTAACGGGTTTGATTCGAAATTATGCGGCATGTACTTTTTGTTCTTGTATTATTTTGATGAACATTTCAAGAATGTTAAATGTGTCTACACAAATTGTTGCATCTGTGGCTTCCATTACTGGTTGGACTTACATGTTAACGTTTGTTTTTGGATTTCAACTAACAGGTCCTTTCATGGTGATGATGTATAAAATATTATCCAATGATGTTTTACGCTTTTCTATCATTTATATTGTATTTTTAATCGGATTTTCACAAGCATTTTTTATTCTTTGCAATAATAATGGTGAATTTGAGTGCATAATCTTACTTTGTTTGTGTGACTTTTGTTTATTATTTTAGGTTATAGTGGTTTCTTAAAAAGTGTGAAATTGAGTTTTGTCGGTACATTCGGCGATTTTGATATTGATTATTTTTCTGAAACCACATATAATTATGTCAGTATTCCATTATTGATCATTTACATTGTTGTTGTTGCCGTTCTTTTATTGAATTTATTAATCGCAATGATGGGTGATACTTTTAAAAATGTGCTCGGAAATGCGAAGCAAATATGGTATGTTTATCGTCCATGTCGATATAGTTGTTAAAGTTATGTCCCATTGTTTTCTTTTCTTTTAGGCAATTAGAACGCGCTCGTATCTCATATGCTATTGAAAGTGATATGTCAATAGAAGAGCGACAAAAGGCTAAATATTGGACGATGATTAATGGTAGACGATATTTGGAAGTTGAAGAACTAATCACCAATTATTGAATGACGATGATATTGATACGGATGAGAAAGATATAGATGGCACGCATCTATTCTTTCATGTTTTTAAACAAATAAACTATTTCATTATCGTAATCTCATCATACATAGTAATAGTAGCACAGTTGTAGATGATTTTCCTCTAGTCTTCACATTGAATAAATTAAACGTGATTTTTAAACAACTATTTCATAGTTATTAACATTGAAATGATCAGACAAAAATGAAATAGTAGAAATTTCGTACACATAAGTCATCAAACACATTGATAAAGGATTGCACTCGATTAAATAATAGTAACAAAAAATATTTTGTACTGTTCTTAAAACGGATGGTACCATTTGATAATTCGAGTTTCTATAATATTCTATAATCCGACGAAAGATATCGACTTTTGATAATTTACACCAAATGGAAAAAGGAAAATCGTTGAAACTGTACTAAACTTTTTTGTAAAACATTTTATAAATAAATGTTTACTTATTTCGTTTGTCAATTGTGGAATTATGTTTAATGTGTGAAACTAGATCTATCTTTCTAGAATGAAATTCGTTTTTCGATTTCCGTTAGTGGACTATAAAGACCTGTCAGACAGCAAAAATTTTATTAATCTATTCTTATACATAGTCTCTTCTTGAAAACTTAGTTTAAAGAAAGATTATGAAAACTGATTTACGTAAGAAAAGATGCCCTCGAGTCTCTTCTTTCGACTGGAGAAAACAGTAGGTCTTTAACACTTTTCGTTCGAAAATAATCGCACGCATTCTTTTAAAAAAATACATAGCAGCTGAAAAGAGGTAAGCTTTAGAAAAGTCGAAAGATAGCTTATTTATGTGTAACAGATGTTATCTCCATATGACAGAATTCATCTACTTTTTTTTTCTCTCCATTTTCCGAGCTGCATAACTGATTGATCTTTAGTGAGCTGTTCAGAAAATTGTGTGTAGTTTGTTTGACAGTTATATATCTGATACAATAAACATTCCTTAGACATATTTCAAAGTTTCAATCTCTCACCATTGTTCAACGCAAAGTAAAGTTAGAGATAACTGCAAAACGTAATTTATTAGAAAGAAGACTACTTCAAACAAGCTACAAAATTGATCACAAATATTTGTGTAAAAAAATGTAAGTGCATCCAAATATAACTACAAATAGAAAATCACTAAAATATTTTAAGAATAAAAAAATGTGAATATAAAAAGTAATAGGGTGAAAGACATCAGCACAAATGCTAATTGAGCAAAATAACGAGATCACAGTCCTTTATTGTAGTACAAATATTCTAAATTCGTTTTTGATTGTATATTACTTTCTAAATCACGCGTTAAAATCTAATAGATAAGAGAGAAATAAATGAGATAGTTTTATTAAAGAGATGAGTGTGCCTCTAATTTTATAAGTGTATTTGGTAATTTAGACTCATCTTTCATTTTTCTGAGACAATTTGAAGAAATTGTTGATTTTTTAAACCTACTTTAGATTTTTGTGGGAACAGACTAATTGATAACGGTAAGGCTAATCCAAATGATAAAGTACACGCTAACACGTTCAGCGGTAAATTCAAACGTGGTATACGACGTAATAAATTTCTAAAATAACGAGAATAGCACAAATTTAATCAGCAAAAAACAACACACATACTTTTCGAATGCCATCATAATAATAGGCGGAAAAAATAATATTGGAACAGGTAAAAATGCTCGAGTCATTGCCATCTCCTTTAGTGCCTACAATAAATATATAAGATATTTAGATATGTGTAAAATAAAAGTTTAGTGTGTGTAGTTATACATTTTTTGCTGCTATTTTTGAGACACCAACAGGATTATTGTTTTGATCAATAACTTCAATTCCATCAAATAATTCATGAAATCTCATAAACACAACGTTACAAGTACTCGCACAAGCTAGAAAAGTAACACTAAGAGAATAAAAGCAGTTATTTATCATATATTTATCTTTTACCAACAGCTGGCAATGGTACAAAACGTTGAACAACAGTTTTCAAACCCGGTGATAAAGATTTTGCTCGACGAATTAATAAAGTTAATCCAACCTAAAAGTTAAATAAAGCTTATAAAGAGCATATGTCTGAGTTACTAAATATTCTTACCGCAATTGATACAGCCGATGTCACTGCAGTTAAATATCCGATAGCAAATTTTGATATTGGAGTATTCTTAATGTGAAGTACAAGGTAGAAATGATGGATACTAGAAGTAATTGTGATTACTTGTGTAGCATTTCTGTTCGCATAGTTGACACCGGCATTATGACTCTGATTTAGCCACTGCCAAAATATAATTTGACTAAGCGACGCTTGAGGAATCAACATACCAACAACGATCGGAGTACCGAATGGAACATAACCTTCGAACAAGAAAAACGAATTCTTTGATACTTCTAAAGAAATAACCAAATATTTTAGCTATGACAGTAAGTATTGTGTATGATCAGTAAGACAAACTCGCAGATTTAACCGTCAGTGCACAGTATGCAATGAGCAAGTGAATGTATTCGTTTTTCGATTTCCGTTAGTGGATTACAAAGACCTATCAGATAGCAAAAATTTGACTGATCGTATTCTATATGAATGAACAAACGACTGTTTTCTAAACTAAGAAAGTTTCCGAAAACTAATATATGGTCGGCTTTTCGCTTTTCCCCGGCAATCAATCGACCTTAAAGTATTGCATAAATGTTGTTTTACTATTTACGACATGGTAGTATTAATATGTATATTTGTTCATGGACTTTACACTGGATTTTCTAAAAAACAAAGGGTTTTTATATACAATCCGCTTCTCATAGCTAAAAAGGTATTTCTTTTTTATAAAAGCACGTGGCATTCATCGAATCAACGTACAACACTGCATCGAATGATGTATAGTACAAAAACTTTACCAAAAAAAGCAGACCCGTTTTGGCCCAAAACAGTCTTTTTAAAGTCTCTCCTTTTTCGTTGTAACAGACATTTGAGGTATATGAAGACAAATAAAATTAAAATAATCTTTTTTAACAAGAAAAAAATAAAATGTTTTCAAAACTGTTAGAAAACGTCTAGTTTTCCTTTTTCAAGTGTAGATGTGAACATCGAACCAAGTATTCTTTTAAATGCTTACCTGCCATTCTAAATGGCATAAATATTTTTTGTCCAGTATCGGGATGAACCATAGCCTAAAATGAATAAAAATCAAGATATGCCTTCATAATTTCAAAACTATGGCCACGTCTTCGTTACCTGTACAACTTTTTGTGCTTCCCATAAATCTTTGTCGGTAATAGTTGAAGATAATGTGCCAGATTGATGCTGAGACAGTAATTTTTGACATTCAGCTAATTTAGTCTGAATAAAAAGAACTATTGATAATAGTGGAAGTGCAGGCATTTTAAGCTCGGAAAGAAGAACTTCAAACATCTTTTATGAAATCGGCTGCTCTCATTTGTGAACAAGATATTTTTTTTTAAGTAAAGGTAAAGAAATGGCTTATACCACTTTAATCTACTTACATTTGATACAAGAAGTGTTCTGGGATCAATAACATTCATAAAATGCCAGAATCTGCCCCAATACGTATTCTAAACAGAGAGTGAAACAGATTTAGTAGGCAAACAGATTTAACGGTTTATCACCTAATACTCACCAGATCATAACGGGATTTACCAAACTCGAATGGAGGATAAGACATAATTCGGATGAGGGAGGAAAAAAGAAAAAATCTAAAAGGTTTGATCACATTTACTAAAATTATCTACTACATAAGGTAAACATATCTAAAAATGTCGAAGAATTTCATTTTAAACTAATCTTTTTCAAAACTTAGTTACATTCTAAATTATGAAGATAAAAAGCTTATAAGAACAATCTGCATCCACGTATCGTGTCTACTTGGTATGGGGGTCGTATCACGAAAAAACTTAAGTCACCAACTTAAGTTGGGACTTAAGTCTAAATTTAAGACCGAATTAAGTCCGGGCACGTAAACCGTATCACGAAAAGACTTAAGTTGGCGATTTGTTTACTTCTTAAACTTAAGTCCTGATTTAAGTCCGGATTTTTCACTTAAGTTTTTTCGTGATACGATCCCATGAGAAGGCAAATATGTAGACCATGTGTAAAACAAAAGAACTCGAGCAAAAACCAAACAGTAGTCAAATTTCAGATGGAATTAATAAAAAGTCATCTATACTAAGCAATGTGCTGTAAAATTAATTAATTAATGTAAAACTATCCTATTGACATGTATTGAATAATTATTTTATTTACAATAACATGCGACATTGTGTTCATACTAAAAAATTGATTAATTAAATGTATTCATACAAAAAAAAAGTCGGTAACATTTCATTATTTTCATTTCAAAGCATATACAGTTTAAGTGGGGAATATGATCAAACTAAGACATGGATAAGCATCAATCAAGGAATGCTGAGGATCTGAACATCAGAAAAGAAAACTCACAAATGTTTAAGACACGTCTTAAATCATCGACAAGAACGTTAGAATAAGCAAAATTAATTTAACTGTTACATGAAGAAGCGTGTTTTTGTGTCAAGGTTTCAAAATAAACCTTAAAAAAATTTTCTCAACACCGGACTATCATTACTCAAGAATAATAAATCTTACGTTTATAACACTATTGAACCTGACTTTAACTTTTGGATTAAAAGCAAGTACAGTCGTGTTACTATCAATCTATAGAGATGATGAACCAAAAATAGAAATAAATACATACATGATGATATGGACAACAAACAAAACTCAATAACCATTTGAACTAGGATCTCCTTTTGAAGAATAATAAATATAAACTATAATCATGCCTATATAACAAAATATGTGAAATATTATCATTGTGTCGTTTTAAGATAAGCGAAAATAAAACAAAGCAAGCAAACTGGAAAATAGCTACAAAATATGAATATGAAAAAATAGCAGCAAAAGACTGTTCTGTACGAATGCAAATAGAAAAATATACAATATAATCTTAAAATATACCTTTGTAAAAAATAGAAAAAAATAACTACTAATTTTAACTGAGATACATATGTCTCAGTTTCATAAATAAAAATCATAAATAGTAGAAAGAATGTACATAATATGCGGCTAAATTTATTGAGATCTTATTAAGAGAAAAATTCAGACTACATGAAGCTTTCTGGTCGATAGTTATGAAGAAAGTAATCATCAAGTTGAATATATCTTGCCACAAACAGTGAAGGATTCAAATAAAAAGCGTCGATAATGCTGTCTTCAGTGCAAGATAGACAGAAATATGAAAACCAAAATCACTAACGAAAAAATCTATCATAAAAAACGAAAAAAAAAATAAGGAGAAAACTCGGAGCACTTATCATTTTTTAAAAAAAATAGACTGTATTAATTGATCGAACGTTCAACACCTGAAATTTTTCATCTATAATTTCTGTTTTCTAGAAAAAAGTTAGAAGTGTAGGAAAAATCAGAAAGTTGGATATTGTTTAGAAGAAAAAGTCTAAAAATCAACAAAGTTAGTAATTCTGTCGAAAATTGAAAGGTATTTATCTGAGTGGAGCCGCTCTTCCGAATTTGATGATTATTGTATTAATTTTGTTGTTTCACTAAGAATTGTTTTCAATTGTGCATTTTCCTGTTTCAAATGTTCTAATTCTGTGTCTAATGTTTTATTCTTTTCTCGTTCACGTTCTAAACTTGATTCCAATGTTTCAATGTAATTACGACGTCTTTCACGACATCTTCGTGCCGCTTCACGATTACTATCACGGATATGTTTACGGCGAATAATATCATTCATTTCTCCTGTAATAGGTGCTGGTTGTATTACATGCGATGACGACGTTGTGACTCGTTGACGTTTGACTTTTGGCGGCATTTGATCAGATGATGTCACTTCATTTGGCATGTTTTGAGCTAACGATGGAATTTTGAGATCTAAGTAGAAAAATAGAAAAGTTGATGTTGATAAGTGAGATCAAAAAGTAAAAATTGCACATAATTTATCACCAGCAGATGAACATGAATACATATGGTGTGAAAGTTGATGAGAATTTATATATTTAATTAATTTTGTGGAGTAGATCCATATAAATATAATTAAGCAGACTCTTATCACTGACAAATGCAATTATAATAGAGTTTGATTTTACGGTCTAAGGCAAGATATATAGATGGATGTTATTAACTATTTACATCAATCAAAAAGAATTCCGTTTCAGTTTCACATTAATAGATGATTCATATATATAAGTCATTTTCTGTATGAATCATCAATCGTTTGATGCGTTCTCTTATATTATTTATCCCACTCTCTGAAGCTTTAGATGGATAGAACATCATGAATTATTCAATGTATCTCATACATAAGATCTGTTATGAGTATGTCTCGATAGCGCTTATTTCATATAAAATACTAACAAAATTATTAGTAATTTTTAATGAACTTTTTGTTTTGAAACCGGTTAAGAAGTTGAATACACTTAACAACAGAAAAATGAGGCTTAGAAGAGGTTTAATAGTAGCATACTACTAAGAAAAAAGAAAAGTTTAAAAAATCGTGATCTAAATCGCGTCAAATATAAACTTCATAAAGAATAAAATTAAGCTTATTTAAAAATTGAAGGCTAGTTGACCCTACAGATATGGTATTATCTATCATACAATATTTTTTCAATACTAAAGCGTGATTCGACTAAATCCATCGCACTTGTTTTTACCATGATAAACGGATACTTCAAAAGTGCGAACGGATGAGATACATACATAACTAGACTAAAGTATACTAACGTTGAGTATTTATTTCTCTTTCAAGGGTTTGTTCATTGCTGTGACTAATAATTTTATCTAAATTTGTTTCTTGTGTTTCAACTTGAAGTGTGTATGGTTTTTGATCGATGAAGATCTGAATATAAGACGAATTGTTATTGTTTGATGGCGGTATATCATCGTCTGTTTGTGATTGACTTCGAATAATAAATTTTTTCTTGGGCGAAAATACAGGTGAGGATGAAGTTGACATAGGTGGTGTGGGTAATAATAAATCACGTAATTGACACAATTCCGTTACCAATGAAACAGATTTTGTTGACTCGATTGATTCAATATCACGCATCACCTATGAGACAAAATTAAATCGCTGTTTAATCTTTCTCAAATAGTTTTATTAAGCAAAAAGACGAATACAATTCAGAATATCTTGCAAAAAAATATCGTTGTTAGTTATTTGTGAGAAAAGTGGTCTGTGCCATAATTTTGATAAGTAGTATTTGTACAAACGAACTATAGTTCTTCCCTGTGTTTAAAGTAAGAAAGTGAAAGAATATGATCAGATCCAAGTTTCTAACTGTTATTTGTCTTTTGTTTGTGAACAAAGTAAAATCGTTATGAGGAAAAGGGTCCATTAGAACTATAAAATTTAGCGAATTTATGAAAATGGTAGAGAACGGCAGCCTGACTGAAATTTTTCGCTGGTTAATTAGTGTAACTGTATTTATAACGCTAATTTGAATATTTTCATGACTTCTTGTTCTTATTTTTTTCAACTTTTCTAGGCGCTAGGTAAATACGTTCATTCAACTGCATATATATAAATCAAACACGAATATGACAATATTGGTCATACATATTTATACTAAATATAATGATTTCATTGATTCTTGAACTAGCCTGAGCGAAAATCATACTTTTTCAGTCCTACTACTCCTCAAAAAACTTCTTAACCCGGCTAGTGCAAACCTCAGTATACATGTCGCCTCGTCAGAGCAAAATTTTTTTTGTGTGATTACGCAGTAAAAATACAAATACATAAGTGGCGTAACGCAAGAAATGGTTACAAAAGCGAAATTCTGCATATTCTTCTACAACACAATATTTACAAAATTCTGTATTAGTCGAAATACAGAATTTTGTAAATATTGTGTTGTAGAAGAATATGCAGAATTTCGCTTTTGTAACCATTTCTTGCGTTACGCCACTTATGTTTTTGCATTTTTACTGCGTTATTCACTTGATTCACGTAAAAAAAATTTTGATATTGGCGACATGGGTATTATCATAAATAATGAATTTCTTGCTGTTAATGTCTTCAGTATCGTTGCTCATACGTGGGGGACTGTTTTCACACGTAATAATGAAGGAGAATAATACCAATTATTTCCTTGCTCTGATAATAACTGCGAAAGCACTCAACTTACTTCAGCCGTTGACGGTGGAATGTCAGACGATGATGATGATGATTGTTGTAGTGTAGAAATTTGTTGAAGAATATTTTGAAACGGTGATTGTGTGGGTTTCCGTGTTAAACTTTGTTTTAGATCTTGAGCAATTTTGGATAATTCGTCAAGAGCAGGAGGAAGAGTGAAACTAGATGTAGTTAGTTTCCTTGACAGAGACTCATCGACATCCATAATTGCTTACGAAAAAATGGTAGAAAAAAAATGATTAGAACGATATTCTACAATTGAATAACAACAAACATTTGATTAAGATCAGTGTAATGAACCATCAACGGTGGGAAAGATTTTTAAGCAAAAGTGCGAGGTAAGAGGCAGTTCCCAAAGGTCAAACAACAACAAAAAAAAGCCATTAACTTCTAACATTATGTAAATTGTAGCAGAGCAAAAAGGAATGAATTTGATAAATGCTATCCTAAAAATACATGCTGGGAATGGGTCCCGAGTAACACTGGCTTTCTACGACAATCCTCCGACCTTAGACTAAGATTGTTTATTCACGAACAATCCTCCGATCTTTGATCATCCAATCATATCATTTTGTTTTTCACAGACAAATAGTCGACTGCTGCTTTCCGAAAAGTTTTGTCACATCTCCGTCAAGTTCGCACATGTTAGCCTTGACCTTTGACCTTAATTGTCACACATTGACTATAAAAAGTAGAAACGGAGAATAGTCACAGTAAGGAAAAGCGATCGTATCATGATAAACAAAATCATTCACTTGAAAGTATATGGTTAGATCGTACCTCAGACGTTAGAACGTTGACCTAGAAATCCAATGTTACTTAGGTTCCATTCCCGATTGAGGTATGTATCTTTTTTTGCATATTTGTTATCAGATTCATTTTTTACCACAAAAATTATGTACGTGCATTAATAGTGTGATAATAAAATGCAAGTTCTTATCTAACGCTAAAATGCCACATAAAATGAATTTCCAATCAGCCGCGTTGCAGATGGCGTTTTAATACATATATAACCCGACTCAACTAGAATTCGATCTTTTTTCAAAAGTTGTGCAAAATAAAACAGAAAACTAAGATTTGTAGAATTATCCCGAAACTGGCATTAAAAAACATAATTATTTAACACACATTACGAAACAATCTAATATTAAGAAGCACGAAATAAAAGAACTCCCATTTTTCTACATACAAGTCTCGCATACATAATACAGAAAGCTTGTCTAGCTACAGACAAAGCCTAAAGCGTTCCTCAGTAGATTCACATTTTCCTAGTCTATTGTCTTAGACTAAAAACCGGAGGATTCTCGAGGAATTTCTATTAAATTCTTATGAGCTTTTTATGCTGTAGAAATCTCCTTTCGGCAAAAAGTCATGACGTCGAAAATTACTTTATCATTTTGTTTTGCATTGAACAATATTTATGAATTAACCGTATTCCATTCAAAAGAAGTTAAAGAATTTTCTCTTAATGAGAGATTATTAAAGCTTCAGACAATGCGTCAGTGAAGACAAGGGATGCGAACACAAACTAAATTAAAATTTATAAAAATTTTTAAACATACCCGGGACATGCGAGGATTTTCAAGAGATAAACTAAATACATCCTACAAGATTCTTGTGCTGCTTCTCGTGCAATACTGAGGGATTTGCTAACGGGAATACCGTGCGATTTTATGGACGGATGTCGACTGTAACCGATCATCACGAGAAAGTTGAACGACATTTATTCTGCAGTTTTAAACTCCTCTTAACTTATTCGCTTACTTCACTATGATTACAGTTGATCCAAATGACTTTAAGATACAAGAGATTTTCTTGTAATTATAATACCCAAGCAAAAGTGCTCCAGCCCAAGTATCTAGATGTTTTAACTGGCGTATCGATAGATATTTTTTACTCTTTTATCTAGATGCGCTAGGTAAAGTATTGAGTTAGCTGGCTGCATTGCTCAATCCATCTACATTCACCAAGTTAAGCCCTATGCAAATGCTAATTTATGGACAATGTTAATTAGTTGTTGCATCTAGACAAAAAATTTATCTGCATCTAGATGCATCGATCGGTCACCGGGATGCATTGAGCGATGTTGATGCTTTTTCCATGCTTGGGTATTTTCTTATAGTTCTATAAGTTTCACCTGATAGATTTTCAGCTTTTTCTTTTCATTCATTCCCACTACCCTCACCTGCCAACTCTGTTCGATGAGAAATGCAAAACCTATTCGATTTTGTTGATGTCAAGAAACGTCACATTGAAAGGCTACATTGACACTGCAAAAGTTAAATGAGCTAAAACGAAGCTGATTGGTCGGAAACTTCTGTGCACTGTCCCAAAATGTTACGGTAAATGTGTAACAATATCATGCTAAAAGTGTGATAATGTTATGTTTTACCGTAACATTGTCACACTTTCAGCATTCCATTGTTGCACATTTGCAGTAACATTTCGGGAGAATGTGGGAAACAAACATCTGACTCTCTACTCAATTTTTCTGCCTGAGCTTAGAAAGGCAACTGTAGAACGTAAATTCAAATCGACCGGCTGTTAGCAAGCCGCAACGTTTAGAGTACCGACGCTAGAAAGCAGCACAATTTTAGGGGAAATGTCAAAATCAGCTAGCTACACAAACATCCACTCGTACGTCTGCGGAAGTGGATGTCTGTGTAGCTGATTTGGGTTGTCTGTGGATGCCTGTGTACTGTCTGTGGGTGTCTGTAGGTGTCTTCATGTTTTACTATTACCCTCAAATAAAATATCAGTTGACGTGCAAGAAGCAAGATTCAAAAAGTTAGTGTTAAAGTAGGCAGAAAGGGCTGGATTTTGAGATTAAAGCAATGTGTAGTACTTCAGACTAAGCGAAAACAAGCATTTCAGCCTCTCGAACAGCAGGGCATATTGACCTTGTATACTTAAATTATATGAATATTTCATATTTACTTTTCTTTTTTCTTTTTAAATTTATATCTGATAATATATATATATATATATCCGCAGCCAATAAAAACTTTAACTGATGCCTCTATCCAGAATAGTACACTCTATTTGACAGACGTTATAGTAGCTGCACAAGTCGACTTAAATAGAAATATTTTTAAACATTTGCGATGAAGAAGCTGCACTATATTTTTCATTACGTTAAGCAAAAGAAAAAACAATCACGTATTTTGTACAACAGTGGACAAAGTATTATGATTTCTCGATCAGTCCCTCGTGAATGTACTTGATCCAAGTACTTGATTACTTGCCGAGTACTTGGGAAGTATATGACAAGTTTCTTCACTTACTAAGCAAGACCTTGCCGAGTGTTTTTACTTCCCAAGTTCTTTTCTAAGTACTCGCCGAATCATAGGCGAGACTCTCGGCAAAACTCCCACGGAACTCCTGTCGTGGAATCCTGCAGGAGTCAGGTGGGACTTTCAGGGGATTTCTCAGGACTCCTGTGGAACTTTTTACTCCTGCGGGAGTCCAACGAAAGTCCTCAGAATTCTCAAAGTCCCATGGGAGTCTTCAGGAGTCCTGAGAAATCCCCTGAAAGTCCCACCTGGCTCCTGCAGGATTCCATGACAGAAGTTCCGTGGGAGTTTTGCCGGGAGTCTCGACTAGGGTAATACCATCGCTTGATTCGCTTCGGGCAAGTTGAACAAGCAATCATTCTTTTGTTTTGCATTGACCAGTCGTATATAAACGTCACAATAAAATCAGCATAAACTTAGAAAATATATTTAGGTATTTCTACCGGAGTTGAACAAACTTGGTAGCCATGCATGCGCCGCTACTAAAGTAGCAGTATGGCTGCAGAATACGTACAAAATAAAGACAAATGGAACATGTATTTGGCTGAAGTTTTTCAAGTAAATTTACTTGCATTGGGTCAGCCAAATGCTTGGACAAGCACTCGACAAATAAATTTACTTGGAAAAGTTCACAATTACTGCCCGCATTACGTAACGCTCAAGTACAGCTTCATTCACTTATTTTTACTAGTTTTCTTCAGTTTACTGTATTTCTGCTAAACTTAAGAAGTTTTTTATTTCTATATGACTAGATAGAGCATTCAATTCTTTATCGAACAGTATATTTTTTTATCCGACTTATTCCTAACCTTGGCTGAGAATTTAGCGAAATTCTAAAAGCCCTAACAACAATTTTTGCAAGGTAATTAATATTTAGCTGCAAGGGAAATGTCTAACTGAAACTAAATCAAATTGTCGTGGAAGTGGTTTCAGGTCGAAGAGATCCATCGAACTCATGTTTGTACAAAATATTGAATGAAACCGTCCTGTACTCGAGGAGAAAGTTTAATTTAAATTTTTAAATTTTAAGTCGCCTATCACTTTTCATTACAGAAATGAAAAAACAGGTTTTAGGGCTATTAGCGAGCATAATGCAGAATTTATGTAAAGTCCTCTGCTAAACCAGACACAAATTACTCAATTCGATAGAGAAATCAACGCTCTATCCAGTTAGATAAAAGCGAAAAAGATTCAAATGTCCAGCGTGTTATAATTACTTGAGAATAAATACCGAAAATCCTATGGTAAAATAATTTTTTAGGGCTTTTAGAATTTCACTAAATTCTCAGGCAAGATGAGAAATAAATCGGATAAAAAAATACACTGTTCGATAGAGAAAAACTGAATGCGCCATCCAGACATATAGAAATAAAAAACTTCTTAAGTTAGCATAAATACAGTAAACTGAAGAAACTAGTGCTAAAGAAAATAATAAATAAGTGAATCAAGCTGTACATTCACTAGTGCTGAACCCTGATAATCAGTGACTGTGATCACTCATCCAATTTGAATCTCTTTAACTGGATGTTTCGCGAGATATAATAATCTCATTTATATTTAAGTTTTTGAATTAAAATACTAAATTTTGATCAAATACTTTGCCAACGTCTACGAATAATTTATGAAAATTTCAAAGGTGAACTATACTGTGCAGAAGTCACTGAAGAGTTTAAAACTAATTTCGAAAAGTTGAAAATTGGCAACCTGTGCCAAAAGTTGAGTTGAGTTATAACTTCTGTTCATAGCTATAATTCAGATTAAAACGCAGACTTTGTTGTGCGACGTATACGCAATTAGAAACTATATTGTCTGGGTATGAATTTTTTTGATCACTAAATTTTCCAGCATGAATCTCACATTTTTATTTCTCAATAAAGTATAATGTACAACACAAACATATTCGTTGAAATAT